TCTTTTCCATTACCCCCAATATAAACCCAATAATATACACAAAGCCACATTCTATCTACTAGGGGGACCCCAATATAGACCCCCATATACTGTAATCCTTATTATAGGGACCCCCAAAAGTGGCACCCCTAATTTGGGGAAACCCGAAACCCTAAATTGTAGTTTCCATTTTCTTTTCCATTACCCCCAATATAAACCCCTCTATAACCCCCATATAACCCTAAACCCTTGGAAAACCTCCAAGTAGTTCCTGTGCCTCTTTCACCAGCCGCGGCTTGCTCATCTTTGCCCGAAGCTCCTGCTGCAGGCGCTGCTCTGCAGCCTTCAAAGGCGCCCAGCATAAAACCGTGTATTTTTGGGGTCCCTTTAAAGGGGTTTAGGGTTTAGGGTCCCTTTAAAGGGGTTATATAGGGGTTATATTGGGATAATGGAAAATAAAATGGAAGCTACTATAATGGGATTTAGGGTTTAGGGTTTAGGGGCCGGGGTATAATCCCCCTTAAGTAGATAGAATATGGGGTATATGGGGATCTTATTATAATATGCCCAGAACCATATTCTATCTACTTAAGGGGGAGTATAGATTCCTGCAGTTGATACTACAACTCCTGCATGACACTAAGTACCTCACACTTTGCCTTGGGAGTCTTGGCATTAACTAATCAAGGTCATCAACAGAGTGTTCTTTCTAGGTGCGTCTCGACTTCTTGTGTGGGGGACTCGTCCTCGTCACTGTGACTCTTGGCACTCGGAAAATACCAGGGCCCAAAAAATGATGACAGTTACGAGGATGGAGGCCCCGATCTGCCTGATGCTTGTAACGGTTGGCACTTTTTGTCATGCAAGGAAGATATGAGCGCCGCATTTTTGGTATCAACTCTGTCAGTAGGGAGACGTTTTAAGAAAATCGTCAAAGGAGGTTATAGAGGAAATTAAAGGTTCTCAGAGGGCCTGTTATGTCTGAAAGGGCGTTGATATCCCGAGATACATAAACAGTGTCTTGGTCAGTGGATGAGCCAGGTAAGATGACACACTCCGGATAAAGTGTCACAAGTAAAGGAACAGCAGAACACTAAACCCTAAACCCTAAAGCCCTAAACCCTAAAACCCCAAACCCTAAACCCTAAACCCCTAAACCCTGAAACCCTAAACCCTAAAACCCTAAACCCTTTTTGCAACCGGGCTGAGCATGTTGCCGGGCGAACCCTAAACCCTAAAACCCTAAACCCTATACCCTAAACCCTGATACCCTAAACCCTGATACCCTAAACCCTAATACCCTAAACCCTAATACCCTATACCCTAAAACCCTAAACTACATTGGGGACTGGAGGTGGTCGCCATCTCACACGTAGGCAACAGCCAAAATTTCTTGCGTAGCTAATCGATCTTGGAGCTTATTGAGTTTAGGGTTTAGGGGTTAGGTGTACGGTTTAGGGTTTAGGGTTTTAGGGTTAAGAGCTTAGACGTAAATTACAACAAGGACTCTGTATCCCTATGTTCAAGTTTACTGAAGCTAGGGGACCTCTATATAGACCCCAATATACTATAATCCTTATTATAGGGACCTTTAATAAGGTACCCTAATTTTGGGAAACCCCCATATGTCCCTATATAACCCTGTGACCAACCCGGGGCCATTGTCACGAGAGGATTTTGTGGTAGCTCACAAGGTTGAGGGATGAAGTCGGGGGCTGGTATGCCAAAAGGTCATAGGCTTTAAGCGTTCAAGGAATGCATCCCCAAGTGGTCCCTATACAATCACCTATAATGCTCCCTATCGTGTGTATTTCCAGGTTTGGGGCCTAGGAGTTTAGGGCTGACATGAGACACCTGCCAAAGTAGTGGAAGAGTGCAATTGTTTCTCACCCGTTGTAACGAGCATATTCGGACCCGCAATTCGTTCAAGAGTGGAAGAGGTACTCACCAGGGCTAAGCAGCAAGTTTGGGACCGCGACCCTCGCAGAGGAGTGCAAGCAGAAGCCCAAAGGTGGAGCCCACCCTCTTCCACACACTCTGACCTCTGCTTCTCAACCTCTGACCCCTGCAGTAAACTCCATGATCCTTTCAACTCTCAAACCTTGATCCCTGCGCACTGCCATCTTCGAATTCTGGTACCCCCAACTCCGAAAGCCTAAACCTGAATGGGGTACCCTTAGAAGGAAGCCCTAATTCTGGGGAGTCTCCATACTCCATATAGAAACCCTCAACCCTATTTTGGGAAACCCAAGTACGCCATCCCGAAGCGGCCTCTGCTCGCGCTGTGGCAGCTTCAGCTGAGGTAAGCTGGCTCTGCAAACTCTCAGCCTTCTCCTCCAGTAGGGGTTACTTAGGGTGCAGGGGTGGGTTGAATGAACCCTGAGGTTCTATAGGAATACTTGGGTTGTATATTCTTTTGAAGTCATAGCTCCAGTTATGGGGAATCAAAGGTAAAAGAAAGCGGAAGATGAACTGGAACCAGGGGGCGAATTTCTGACAGCCAATAACAGGATTTTGGTTTCCCTACCCCCCAAGATAAAGGCCCTTTGACTATCATATGAGCTAAAATCTAAACTCCCAGTATCCCCCTTCCCCCTTAGCAACCTTTTGAGCGAGTTTAGACTACAGGTCATATGGCCAAAGGTCCTAATGTTGGGGTCTGGGAGTTGGCGCACAACTTTGGATAACTTCATGGGGTGTAAGCTCCAGGCTTTACAGGCTCGAGGTTGTGGGTTGACGGGGGAATAGAGTAAGCGGTGTAGAGTTTAGAGTCAACTCTTGAGATGGAACATGCGTTGCTAGTAAACATGAAAACGGCAAGCTCAGAAACGCCCATGCGGACGAAACTTGAAGTACGGAAGCCTGGACAAAATGGGAACAAACCTTGGCCAAATCTACGTAAGAGATTCTAGTTCTTCGCCCGCCATGACGCAGGCAGGTTAAGAACCACCTGAGAAGTACTGTTTGCAACCATAGGTTTTGGGTCTCAAATACCCTTATCAAGGCCATATTCCGTGGTTTACCCAGACCCCAGGGTACAAACCCTAAGGGTACAAAGGCAAGCTTCCTGAACCTTTAAAAAAGGCAAATAGGAAGACCGTTCCTTCATAAATAAAGGGGTTTACTTAAAGGGGATTGTATAGTGATTGTAAGGGTTATATAAGTTTAGGGTTTAGGGTTTTCCCAAAACTAGGGATGTCTTGGAGTCCCGAGAATAAGGCTGTAGCATTTTGGGGTCTATATTGGAGACCCCCTATTTAGGGAAACTACGATATGTAGGCCTAGAAGTACCTTAAGTTAGCTTATGACTCAGCTACGATACATTCAATATTCAAGCCTCCAAAAAAAGCCCCCATCAAACTCCGAATGGTTTATGCAGAGCAGAAGAGGGGGGGCTGAAGAGGTAGTATGCTGGAGTCTACCTGCCGTTGAAGATTAAAGAGTTACTAAGGTTTAGGGTTTAGGGTTTAGGGATTAGGGCTTAGGGCTAAGGTCATTTTCCATAAGTTCTAGCCGCTGGTGCACGGAACAGTATTATAACGAGAGCCCAAATCCAGGAGGCGGGTTATAGTCTCGTAGGTCGGGGTCGGGATCTCATCCACTTTGGCTGGAACAATTTTTTTCTAGAAAAAGCTTACTTGAAGCTTTGCTCTTATCCACAAGGACTATGCTAACTATACTACACCACATAGCCATTGAAGTCGACCTCCTGCACTACTCAAACAAAGTCCCTGAAACCCAAATCCAACCCTAATATGCTAGGAAAGAAAGAACCCTTGTCATAGTTCGGAAGGGGGGTTCCAGACCCCAAAATTAAACACAAACTCTTATGAGTATGTCCTTATATAGCTTCAAAGCGGCCCCGTCCTGCAGCTGCTTTACCAGCTCCTGCTGGGTCTGAAGATCAGCCTCACGCTCTTCCAGCGCAGTGCGTGTGATTGACAGCTCCTCGAGGCCAAGCACCGCCAGAAGATCAAACCCCCGCAAGGACAAGCTTCTAGAAACCGTGACCGGTTGCACACCGAAGCCACGCTCTCAACATCTCTCAACTTCTGCGCAGAAAAGAAGGAAATCCTAATATTTCCCATGGCTCCTTCTGCAGGGCGCCATGCTCCGCCCTCCACTTCCGAGCTTCTTCCTTCCAAGTTAAAAAGAGGTATGAGTTCTTAAGGGATTTTAGAGAATCTAAAAGTCTACCCCGAACCCTGGACCCTAAACCCTAAATTTCTTCGATGGGCCCTTACACAGCCCGGTTTAAGGTTAAGGGTTCAGGGTTTAGGGTTTAGGGATTAGGGCACAGGGTTAAGGGGCTAAGGAGTTAGGGTTAAGGCGTTAAGGTCTTTTCTGCAACGCCCCTTTTGCGTCTTGCAGAAACGACTGTTGGCAGCGTGTAGCCAGCTTCTGTCCAGCTTTCATGTTGCCACTACCACTGTAGGAGTTAGGGTTCAGGGCTATCCAATGATCAACAACTGTCAGATGATTGCCGTTACATAGGTACTGCTTGTGGGGATGCAATGTCCTTCCTACTAGTTCCAATCTTTTGGCAAGGCAGACGCTTGGAATCCCCTCTCACACGCTGTGTACAGCCACCCGTGAAGCCCCTGGACCAACATCCCTGGGAGGACGCGTTGAGCAGTTTCAGAAACGTTTTACCTGGAAGTGTTCCGAAACATGCATAGGCGAGAGCACTATCATCTCCGCCGTGTGACTTAGAACGCCTGCAAACTACCTGCGCGCTTCCGAGTAAACCCTGACACCCGCTCCTGGGACTGCTTCAACTCTGCCTCCGTCTCTTCCAGGATCCTGGGACGATGCCGTGCGTTGTGATTAGACGTGATTAGGGTTTAGGGTTTCGATACAGCAACACAAAAGGTGTCCTTTGTTGCAAGAGCTTCTCCGGGGTCAGTTCTTTTCAACCATGACCAGGAGTGTCCATGAACCCCTGAATGCCATTACCTACACAACCTCAGCAGTGCACCTGTCCTGCTGCCTAGCCGACTTGCATAGATTTCCGCAGGCATGCCACCCTCACAACGCAAAGACGCTCCAAAAGCCTTGCCACTACTTCCTGAGCTTCTCTTGATGTACTATGATGTATAAAAACTCTTTACAGTAGGGTTTCGGGACCCCGGATTAGGGGCTCCTATTGAAGTACCATCAGACACAAACTTTATGTAACTCACGAGCGGCAAATTCTTTGAGCAGCTGCGAAGCTTTCTCAACGTTGCGTTTAGGGCACCTTGTTCTTGTCAAGCCAAAACAGCTCATACTCCTGCCAAACATCCGGACATCTTGTTGAGCAACTTATAGTAAATCAACATAGTCAGGAACGCTGTAGGAAATCATTGTATTGCCAGACACCCACATGACAGGAGCTTCGTTGAAGTTCCCTAACGGCAACGCAGTTTGGAGTTCAGGGCTTCAACATGCGCATCTTTGCTCAGGCACAGTTTAGTTTTTCAGGTTGCTGAGGGTACGTGCTTATGAATAGAATTCACACAGCGGGGAGAACATGACATAACACCAACAGGCCCTAAACTGAAGCCTATGTCCGAAGCCTCTTGCCTTTTCCTTTAGACCCTGAACCCTAAAGCATAAATACTTGGAGGGTCAGCGGGATTTCGTAAGCTAATAAAGAGGATATCTGGGTTACTATATTATGCAGCACATTGCGGTCATAAGTCATAAGTATACTCACTAAGTCCACGGGACAAGCATCGACTCAGCCTTCTCGAGCTTCTTGAGCAAGGGCCCGGACCTGAGACACAGACAATTGTGGGGGGGGTTAGTCATAATGGAAAATACAGTGGACAAGAAAACGTTATTTAGGGCTGGGGTTTAAAGTTTGGGACTATGAGATGAATGCTTAGGCAGCGGCGAGGTCAGTCTTGTTTTCGGACCCTAAACCCTAAATCCTGGACCCTACGGTCAACTAAAAAAGAACTGCGCAGAAGCACAAGCTGCAACCAGCCTTCACTTCTCGCCTTATCCGTGCTGGCTTCATCTGCCGAAACCCCCAGGAAGTCCTAAACCCTAATCCGAAAACCCCTTAATCCCAAACCCTAAGCCATAAACCCTAATCCAGGGTTGAGGTTCAGGGTTTTGGGTTTACCGTCTAGAGTTCAACCCCTCTCATAACTGCCTTAACCTGTAACCCAACTCTAAAGCCCGAAGCCCCAACGCCAAGCCGAGGGTCTTGTCGGACAGCCGTCTCTGCTTCAGCTCCTCATTGGCTTCCTGTCTCGGAGGCTTAGGGTTTAGGGTTTAGGGTTTAGGGTTTAGGGCTAGGGTTTTAGGATGTTCGGCGGATGAGGGTTTCACGCCTGGGGTTTCGGATTTAGGGTTTCCGAAGCTTACTTACTGATGCTTCAGGGGTGAGTGCACAATGGGAGTTCCTCAAATAATCCCGAAAAAAAGTTGAAGAAGGAGACCAAAATCCCCCGAAAATGCCCCTATGTTAAGAACCTGCCCTTATAGGCAGGTTGGGTCAACTCCTTTACGCTGTCTCATCATAGTACGCAACAGCAGCAGTAAGACTTAGGTTTAAGGACCTAAATCGTAGTTTCCATTATCTTTTCCATTATCCCTATATAACCCCAATACATACCCTAGAATTCCCATATAATTCCCTGGGGAAACAAGAGCTGGATGTAAGTGCAAGAACTTCAGGAGTTTGGTTTAGGGTTAGGGTTTAGATGTTCATAAATCCGCTTCGAATGAGAACGCCAACTAGCTTCGCCACGCAGAACCCGAAGTCCTACGCTTCCTTGAGCTTCGATTCAGTAGCTCCAAACAGGAAATCCGAAGAATACAGAGTTTAGTTGTTCAGGATCGGGGTTGGAATCTGGAACCCTAAGAATATAGCAAGATTATGATAGGAATATCAGGAACTCCTTCTGGGATCTACCTGAGATCCACAGCTTGGAACCCGAAGCTGACAAAGAAACAAACACACCGTCTGGGGTTTGGGGTGTAGTTTCGCGACCCAGAAACAAGCAAAACTACACCCTAAACCCTAAACCCCCTAAACCCTAAACCCCCTAAGCCCTAAACCCCCTAAACCCTATAAACCCCCTAAACCCTAAACCCCCTAAACCCTAAACCCCCTAAACCCTAAACCCCTAAACTCTAAACCCCCTAGCAAGAACCTGGTAGGCCTCAAGTGTTGGAAAGCCGGTGAAGTAGAAGCCTGTATCAGGACTTAGGAAGAGAGGGTTCCCGAAGTAGCCCCACCAAACGAAGAAGCCCCAAAAACGGCCGCGTACTCTGGAGAAAACAGTAATATCACTAATTGTTATGTTAGATAATAGTATTCAATTGTTAGTAATATAGTAATCTTGATATTACGGAATATTAGTAGTACTAGCACCCAATGTCCTTGAGTCGATCCAACTCCTCTTGCTGGCTTTGCAGTTCGAAGTCCTTCTCCTCATTTGCTATGCTTCAAAGGGATGACGTTCGATGTGTATCTCTCTGGGGGCGATAAGGTTCATATACGGGCTTCTGGGTTACATGAAGCAAAACAATTACGAAAGGGGGTGTCCTTAACATCGTGGAATCTTTTGGGGTACCCTGTGAAATCATCGCACTTAGGATCAGGTGGTGCAAAAGCGGGCCCCTAATTTTGGAGGAACTACTCAGAACCCCAATTATCCCGGAAAAACCCTGCAGTCCCGAAGGATAATAATATGAGACTCTAAGATCTTGTTAACGTTAACACCCGGGGCAATATACAACTACACCCTGCTTGTGAAGTCTGTTCTATTCTCTGCACTTGCTTACCTACATTGTTAAGGGAGTTTAATATGTAACTGACCCAACATTACCCCAAGAAGAAAAAAGGTTCCTTTTTACATGAATATAAGGAATCACATACCCCAAGTGTAAAGCGCATCATTGCAAATGAGCAGAGTCCCCAGTCAGATGCGTGAGACTTGCTACCCAAAAAGTCTAAGGATCCCAAACATTGATCCAGGTTTCGCGTGTTAGGTGTTGGGTTGAAGCAGGTCCCGGGACTGTCAACAAGGCACTCCCCAACCACATTATTGACGGCGGAGGAGGCATCAGACGCTAAATGTTAGCATCGCGTTTGGACAGTAGTATCATAAAACCAGCAGCAACTGACACCTGCATCGCTGTGGTGCACACCTCATGCTTCCAAACTTGCCAGCCCATACTAGGTTCCATTCTCTTCTCCCTTCATTCCTAACAACCAGTGAGCAAAGTTATCGGGGCACAGAGCACCTTCACCACCTCCTTCCAGTTCATCTCGAGGTCAGAGAGCTTTTTCTCATATTCCTCCTGATGGGAATTGTGGATAGCACGCTGTCAGAGTCGGATTGTATGCTTTGAGGTTAACCTGAAGTATGAACGCACAAAGAAAAAAAGCACAGCAGTCGTGAGTGATTTGTCTGCCACCTATGCTAGTCCCGCTGCGAGCTCCATGTACAGCATGTCGGCGCTGGAAGAAACACATTAATTAGGAGGACCCCCCACCCTGTAATAGTGGTATAATAGGATTATAATAGGACCCTAGTATAATCCCTATTATCCCTTATAGTCACTATTACTGGGTGGAGGGTCCACCTAACACATTAATCACAAAGCTGTAATCAGGCAATAGATTACGGCTTAAGGCATTGGGTCCGAAAAGGCCTCAAGTTTGGGGCTAAGGGCTCTAACGAGGGAACCCTAGAAGGGGCCCCTAATCCCATTACGTTACATACCGCGGGTATAACTAATCCGTACAATTCTGCCCCCTATATGACCAAATGGTCCGCATGTTGTCCCCCCTCACCTACCAGGGGTTGCCGACTTGGCTGTGTGGTTTTGTCGGCTGGTTTTGAACTCTCTACGAAGCCGGAAACTTTTCCGCGGTCTTATCGTTGATGCTCTCACCTTTGGTTCGGGGAGAAGCTGCACATAGAATTTTAATCTAGTAGGAGCCTGCATCTTAAAAATGATCACACCCCCCCAAATATGAACCCCCCTTCATGTCAAAAAAACATCCCATTCTATATATTCTGGTATATCGGGAAATGAAAGACTTGGGGGTGCAGGGCTACAACATTAGGGCAGTGAATTAAGAGGCAGTTCCTGCCAGCCTGACTGTATTGCAGCCGGCGCCCATACAGTCCTTGATGTCCTCTGCAGTTTGACCTCTCTCCTCTTGATAGAACTGCACGTCGTGATTCAGGAGCCTCTGAAAGAGCTGCCATGCCGTTGGCGCTGCTCCGCGCATACTGAAAACCACACTTCTCCCTCAAGATCCTCACGTTACACCAGTGCTCAGTCCCTTGGAGTCCCTGGGCCCCTCAGAAATACAAATCTACATAGAGAGCTAAAGAACCAGGCATTGATCATGGAGCCCGTGAAGGTTCATTGCTCACATTGCATCTATAAAGAATATCCCTAGACCCTAAACCATAAAGGCCGTGTCGGCCACTCTCGGGGACCCACGAGAGGTTCTCCTCTCCTTTACCAAGCCCAACTCCTATAGAAGGACCCTATAATAATAAGTGGGTTTAGGGTTAGGGTTTTTTTTGTAATCCCAACCCCAAAATTAGGACCCTATAACCATCATATGATAGTCGTAGGGTCCTAATTTGGGGGGGTTGGGGTCACCAAATCCTTTTAATATGTAACAGTCACACGATAGCCGTTGTGTAGTTCTCTTCGGGGTTGGGATTGCCAATAAATTGCTATTGCCTCAAAAAAACCTTATGTAACCCCTGTAGAACCGAAGTTTCCACTACATTTTCTGGTTTCTTTCCCATTTGATATTTCAAGAATCCCTAGAACCTAAAAATCATAAATCGAATCTCAGTTTCCTTTTCTGTTCCATTTGATTTTTCCATCGCTGGTATACAAGACCCTATTCATTCTTCTTTAACACTATATACTCCCCATAGAACGCCTGTGGCCCCCCTTTGAAGGGGTCCCTATATTTGCAGGAGAACCCAAGCGGTCCGCTAAGTGCTGGAAACCCTCAACATCCAAATCCCTAAATAACCCTAAGCCCGCTGACCGCCTATATATGAGGGAGTGCCAAAATTAGGGGTCCTTTTTTGTGGGTCCCCATATTATGGATTATGGCACCTTATCTCTATGCTGGACCCCCTTATGAAAACGGCTCTTTCCCATTATACCCCTAGAACCCTCATGAAGTTGCGGAATTCCTGGGAATTGCAATCACTTCTAGAAATTCCTAGAATTACATTTTTTGCATCTGGGCTCGCACACAGCCAGCAGATCTCACCCGCCGCAGAAACCCTAAACCCCTAAACCCCATTTCTCAGCTGGGCAACTCGAGCAGCTCTGCATCCTCAGCGGCGCGGGCGTAGTCGCGGAGTAGGCGAAGCCTTTCCCTGGCCGAGGGAAGGGTTTTAGGGGTTAGGTATTTAGGGTTGTAGAAAGTAGGGTTGTTGTTTCTAAGACTTTGCAAATTGGGTAGTTTGGTTTAAGAGGGATTTTCGGGGGGGTCAGAATTTGAGGCTCAGGGTGTGGGGCTCCGAGAATGACAACACTCGTGCCCCATGCTAATGAGAAGCATTCTTAGGATGCCGATTAAGTAGATAGAATATTAGGGTTATTTTGGGGTTATATAAGGATAATGGAAAAGAAAAAGGAAACTACTATTTAGGGTTTAGAGTTTAGGACGCTCAACTTGGAGGTTCTCTTGACTTAGTACGTCGTAAGAATGATTACGGGGCTCACAGTAGGGGTTATTCGGGATAGTAGGTAGACTTACTACGTCTGAAGATCGTCCAAATTGTGAACAGGTTGGACCTTAAAGTTCCTCCTGTTCGCTTTGCAGTCTTGCTGCCTTTTTTGTACTCATGACCGGCTGATGTTGAGTGTTCGTAGTGATTCGACCGAATTAGGTTGTATTTTGGGGCAGAACGCTATAACGGCTAAAACCAAAAAGGCCAAGGACATCATCTTTTATCATCTTACTTTATGTTGAAGACGCTAGTAACCCGGAGACAAATGCCGTACTCAGATGGTGGTCTGGGCCCTGAGGACGAGGAGGGTGCTTCGGACTCCATGAACAACGCGTGCTTTTCAGGCAAAGCCCGGAATCTACGCCTCTTCCTACTACTGGCTCTTTCAACCAAGCCCCTTCGAAACAACGTCTGGCAAGTAGAGAGCTATCACTGCCGCAACCGAAAAGGAACCCCAAAGCAATCCCGGACAATCCCCTTCCTAAAACAAGTTAAACTTTGGGAGGGCTGAATTTCGATCGCTTACGATTGTCTATTCCTTTCATTGCCAGCGAACCAGAGGTAAGACCAGGGTTCTGCTAGCCAGACCCTGCACTCAGTGCACACCAAAATACAGGTTATTGATTAAGGCTTGCGGCTTAGGGTTGAAGTCTTAGCGCTTAGGGTTTAGGGATTAGGGATGAGGGCTGAGGATAGCCCAAGCTCTAAACTTTTTATGCCTTAGGTCATTCCCCCTTACAGTAACATTTGCCACAACGGGTAATAGGAGTTCTAATCGCAGCCCCTTTAAGAACCGTTATCGTCAGCGGGAACAACCCGGTTTATAAGCTCGCTCTGACCTGAACTGACGCTTTAGACAAGAACAACAACACTCGCAAATCGCTCAAGAGAATGCAACATGCAAAACAACGTTCGGTTCGCTAAGTACGACTTTTTTTCATCACATCGTTGCTGAAGGGCTTCTCTCCTTAGCAGTCCGCAGATGTAAGACTTTTATGGCTAATTACCCACATAAACCTAATATAGACCCTGTTATAACCCCGATATATACCCCACTATAGTAATTTCCATGTTCTTTTCCATTATCCCTGTCCCGGCGGATGGGCCTGAACAAGGATCTGTCCCGGAGGAACCTCGGCCAATGCCAGGTATTGAGGTCCAGGATTAAGCTGGCATATTACAAGACACTCTGGGCATCCATAGTCCATAGTGCTACTTGCATGAGAGTCTAAGGTATTGCCTGGTTGCAACTGGGGGTTTCCCCTAGCCAAGTTGAGGATTAAGGCCTCACCGGGTGCAGGTGTGACTCAGGGAGTACAAAGACCATAGGGACTAGCAAGGATGTTTCGATGGGTCAAAATCCAACCTGAAACGCCAAAGCTTCCTCCCCAATTTCATTTAGTCCCAATACCAAGGCGAGGCCCCTGAACCAAACCTCAAACCCCAAACCCTTAACCCAAAACCCCTAAACCCTACCTAACCAACAAGCTTGCAAATCATCACGTCAAGGAGCTGCCGATTCTTGTCCCGAAGCTCTGCAAGCAAATTGCTGTATTTGACCTGCTCGCCAGTTCAGGCTTGAGGCTTGAGGTAGGTCAAATGGCTCTCCCCACACAATCCATAGCTAACGTAGTTTCTACGTTTTCAGAGAATTCTGTCCAAGAGAAAAAGGCGATCGCAGCATGCCGCGCACGAAAGTTACAAAACGTGCGCAACGGATTCACCACTCATTGGTTTTTAGACTTCTCACACGATCCGTAGCTAACGTAGTTTTGAGGTGGTTCGAAGAATTTCGTCAAAAACTGTTCAACGAAAATCTGAAATATGGCTTTAGAAGCGCGATCGCGGCAAGCCATGCGCAAAACTCCGAAACGTGTGTGATAAACCACTAGAGATGGCTAAAAAGACTTGCGGAAAAGTTCCTTGTAACCTGCAAGGCTTGAAGAATGGCTTGAGGATGTACGTGGGCCATAGTCTAAACTCCTAGCATCCCCCTTGATAACCCTATAATGGTCCCCTATATCCTATAGCTCACATGGGCTCTGACATGGAGGTGCTTCAGCATGCATTTCTAAGCCTGCCTCTTCTGGGTTTAAAAGTTCGCCTTGGTGACTTGTTTAGAGTTTGGATTGAATCAGGGCATCACGACCCTGGAACGGCTAGGTGTCGCATCCGCCTTGCGCCTTAGTTGTCTCCCTAAATTCAATGGCTGCGTGGTGCGCAGGGAATTGATTTGAATACTGACTGGCTCAAACGAACCGAAGCCCTCACCATAAGGTAGGGGATGAGCTTATGAGGATAGGGTTGTTCGGCATGTTATGCTATGATCACAGGGAATGAAAAGGAATAGTTGCCTCAGTTGCCTCGTTTTAATGAAGGCTTCCACACAACTTCCCCACCCTCTCCAACTATAAACGAGGTACTACTGCTGTGCCTGTAAACGACTGTACATGTCTAGCAAGGATTGGAGTGATTGGAGCACAGGTACGAGCCCACTACCGGTGAATGACATCATTTCCCTGCATTCACACGGCGAGGGAAATTCCACACACTGAAAACACAACANNAAAAAAAAAAAAAAACAGCCTTTCTGCAAATGCAGCACCCCAAAACCCAGAATGCTGACCCTAAGGCACTAGAGCCTACAACTAAAATCCAGACCAAATGCTGGAAATGTCGTGGCAAGTATGAGGACTATATATAGACTATAGGAGACCTGTTCATAACTCAAGTTCCTACCTAGCCCCAAACCCTGAAAACGGCTATATAATGCGGAGTTCCTTGCAATCTTCCATGCTCTTTTCCACTTCATTCTCCATCATAACCCTGATCCACAAGCCCTATAGTCCCCCT